CGCACTTCCTCATTTAATTCATGGGGAAAGTGTGTCCAAATTCTTGACTGGTAGCGTACACACGCAATCCAACCCCAAGAACATAGTAGTCTGCCTACATATTCCCAAGATGACATCATAAACTAAGTGTACATACATATTATGTGTGCTCATTTTATTTATTCAATTAGGTCTGGATTTCAATAAGGTAGTGTGGGATGAAGTCAGCCGAGTCGGGCCAACTTAGGCCGAGATTAGCAAGAGCAACAGCTGATGGCAGGCTATGCTACTCTGGCAAAATGCAGCTGGTCTGTTGCCAGGCAAAGGGAAAACACAGTTCCTCTCTACAGACACCTCCGCAATCCTTTCCACTTAAAGGTAAGTGTAATGAAGAGCATCCCAGCATACCTCTGCTAAAGATTTGTTTCCCTTTATCTGTGTCACACGACTGGGCACAAAAGTAGACACAGATGCAGGCACTGAGGTGGGTTCCAAACTCCACTTTGATTAACTGTGAAAACCAATCAATAACAATCCTCAAATATGCACTGAAATGATCTATAAAAGTTAAAAATTAAAAAAGAACCAAGGCTACCATACATCTTCAAATCATAAGATAGATTTCTCCTTGTGGTTTAAAAACAAATTCAAAGCTATTAAGTGTGAAGTGAAAATATATATCATTAAACTTCTAACTGCAAGGGTCATAGAAAACGAAGCCTAGGCACCAGATAAATCCTCACCCCAACTCTTTATGAGTCACATCACTGGGGCAGAGTCTGGCCTTCAGTGAGCAGAACCAACACACTGCACATCAAACTCTCATTAGAGAAAATGAAACTTTAATAACCCCGTGATTGCCATGGGGACACAGGGCTGGTGCCACAACAAACAGACATGAGAAATAACATGAGCTAAATATAAATGATCTGGGATAAGAGAGGAAATAGCGGTTTTAATAATAATGTTCCTCAAAATGTTAAAGACATGGATCAGAGCATTGAGGACGCATCAAAAATAAAGCCAAAAAAAATATGCACAAAATTCATTCTGGAATATGAAATATCCTAAAACTGAAATATCACACAGAGTAAGTTCAGAGTTGGTGTACATAGGATCATACAAATGTTCATCCTCTCATACTGTGAACATGCAAATGCAATGCACCTACATTTGAACATGTAATTTAGTAGCTAATAATGTTGTCTGCCACCATATGTACGTACTAATTCACATGCACATACAGACGTAAGTACTCAGAAATAATGAAACAAAATGTCATCTAGTTCAGACGTGGGCACAGAAAAGCTACATGTCTAGTATAGACTGTGCATGTGACTCAGGTACGCTGCTCCATCTCCCTTCCTGCTGTTAGGTATTTTTAGTCAGATAGATATTGGATAGATACTTTACGTATTAGAAATGTTTAGTGGAGATAGGATGTCTAGTTAGACTGTTAAATGCTTAGTCATGCTTATGAGTTTCTACAGGGTACATCTGGTCAAGGATAACTAGAGAGAAATGTTGATGACTGTCAGCAGACAGGGTGTTTAATATTATTATTATGACGTGTATAACTGTAGCCTTAGCCATAATATGTTCTTCTGCTATGACCAGCTGCAAAGCTGGCAACAGAGACGTCTCGGTTGACGTTTCTGTGTAGTATGGGGCTAGCCCAACCGAGGGGATATAATGTATAGGCCTGGTGGGTTCAGGGTCTTTCATCTTACATCTGCCTGTGAGCAGTTTGGAGGTGCAAGATACCTGAGCGTGTAATGTTAATTTTACCTGTGATCCTTTGAATAAATCAGCACTGTTTTGAAGTTACTTGGACTGTCTCGTCTCTCAGAGTTAGCATGGTAACAAGAGCCATAGTCCTATACTGCTGAGTTGTTTGGACAGAAACTGTACAATCCTGAAGGCTGTTGGCTCTAAAGTGCACATCAAACACTCCATGTTGCACCTTCAGCCTCCCCCTCATCTCCATGAGGGGGAGGCTAAAGGTGCTCAGTGCAGTAGTTGCATCAGCTGTTGTACTGATGTGAGGTGGGAGGTGTTTTTTTTTGTTTGTCATTTTGTATATAAAAACACATGGATATAATGTATAGCTTGGTGCTTTGACTGAAATACAGTCCAGGTTTGCAGCTGATGGGTAACCGCTCCACGTAATTTGATCACTGAATCACCTCTCTCCTAACTGCTTGGTGACAGGTATCATTGGGACACTATAGCTCCTCCTCTTACAGATGCACAACATCAGACTGTTCTCTTTTACACCTCAAAATGAAGCTGCAGAGGCTTTCTTATGTAAAGTAACAACACAAAGGGTAGTGCCACAAATGCAAAGCCTCTAAACACCTCCTCCCCGCACATCCCAAGTAACAGAGGCATCATATAAGAACTCCTGGAGGTGGCATGACAAAGAATAAATAACTGGACCATTAGATAACCATACAGCAGTGAAGCAGCACAGCACAAAATTCAGTGAGACTACAAGATTATAAAGAAGAGAAAAGCAGGTGAATGCTAAAACAAGCCACGCAGCATGACAGTGGTTCCCTCCCCTTCAATGACACTGAGTTGTTGTGCTTACATTTCTTTCAATTATGCAAAAGCATTGTCATGAGCGAGTCTAAGTAAGAAACCTCTAACTCTGAATGTGTGATGTCTCCAACTGCTTTATAAAAAGAGAATGCAATGATGTAGCTCATCCCAATAGCCTCTGAACTGCTGTTTGCAGGGACACAGTGCAAATCAGATTACATATGTGCTTTATATTTTGCTTAAAATGATGTTTCAGTGCTCTGAAGCCCCGGACAGATAAATAATGCCATTAAATGTCGCTACGGCTAACACAGTTAGAAAAATCTTTATGGGTATGTTTATTATTTTAAATTGCTTTTCAGTCCACCAGTGGGGCAGCACCAGTACAACGAAACATCGTCTCGTTGTCCATAACACAACTTTATTGTCTTGTTTTAGAAAGAAGTACAGAGATGATTACCCCTGGTTCATAGGATTTTTGTCTGGCTTCCCAGGACTCCTAACTGCATTTATTGGCTCTGCAGGTAGCTGAGCAGCACAGTATACATTCCGCATGATTGAACAGTGCATATTCCAAAGACTCCAACTTTCCAAAGAGAGCTGCACTGCACCCCCTCTTCTCTTTCCTTCTTCTAGTATGATCTCTCTGATCCTTGACTTCTCCTTTATAATCCTGATGGAGAGGAGGGCCATTTAAAAGAATGAGGACACAGCTGTGTCAGTGGCAGAGCACAGGAGGGCACCATTCAGTGCAGTACCCCATCTCAAACCCTTCATCACCCTCACACCCTCTATTTCCACTTCCTCCTGTCTCTCTTAGAGTTTCCACCTCTATTTCCTTGCCACTGATTCCAGGATTCCAGTAATGCCAGAGAAAGCCCACCACCCTCCCATACCGATTATGCATTCTGACACATACAACCTAGCTGGCCACACTAGTCAGCTGAACTCAGATCCAGTTTCCCCTTCTTAATACTCCTCTAACAAGGCTTTTTCCCACTGCAGCCAAGTGTCAGCCCTACCAAAGTCACCTAACAGGATGGCTCTGCCTTCCACACACAGACACAACACAGGGTGAGGGAGCACATGTTTTCATTTTTACTATTTCTACAAGAGATGAGATGCAACCAAAAGCCCACTAGCAGTCATAAGATGGATACCTCATTGTATTGGCATGGTTTATTTTCAGCACTTTCCACCTCAAAACAGTGTGAAGTCTGAAGGATGACATATGGTTTGGTGCCATTTCTGATCCACGGGCATAACAAAATGACAAGAGGTTGACAGCCAAGTAATAGCCTAGATAGCATATTGGGCAGAATAATTTCTCAGTGTAAAATAAGAGCTGCAAAGACAGGATGTTTTTTCGCACACTTGAAAATAACCTGAATGACAAAGAACTAACTGTATTGTCAGTTAAGGATGCTCTCTGTGCCCTGTCTCCCACCTCTCAATGTGCCAAACAAAACTGGGCCTCTTCAGCATCAGGAGGGACACGGCTCATCCATATGAACTGGACACAAACCAAAGAACACTCGCCCTCTCTCTCTTCTATCCATCACTGTCACTACATCCGCCTCTCAACACTTTGAGACCGGCACTGTCGCAGCACTTGTTATTGCCTTTTTTTTCCTAAACATTTCTCATTTCAAGCAAGCACTATCAAATAAAACATGCTAAGCCACACTCTGAGCAGCATTACCTTTCAACTGCCCCTCTGTTCAGCCAGGAACCACTTGCACTACACACAAGTGTGTGAGTCATATATGAAGCAGGTTTTAATACACATATGAATCAGCCATGATTCATCGGGTCAGCCCCAAGCAATGTAATGGGCAGTAACCTGTTTTATCCCATTTCTACATTAGTCTTGCAGACAGGTTACTTTCATCAGTCCACAAAGACATTTAATATGCAACATTACCGCTGAGTGCAAATATGATAGAACATAATAAGCAGAGCAGTTGTACACTATGAAAGGGACAGCCTTGGTGTCATTGGGTATCACTGGTGGAATGGGCAGGATCACATTACATGAAACTAGTGTATGCCCAGCTGAAATATTTACTTTCACCGTAGAAGCTACAAGATGATGTTGCATGAGGACACGCATGTATGCTTATGCAAAATAAAATTGTCTCACCCATATGTGTCATACAACACCACCCCCTTCTTTCAAGAGTAGGAGCTGGTAAACACAACCCCCGGATTACGATCATATTCAAGGGATGCATTCGTTATAGAAAGTACTAAAATTGACTAATGGTATTTGTTTAGAGGTTACAGATGGTGACGAGGAAGCCATTAAATTCATGGTAGTGGTATGTCACTTGCATAATAAAGGCAACTGTAGAACAGGAGGCCAGCAGTGCCACATAAAAAAATAAAATAAAAGGACTATCTTCAGTATATGTATATTGTTTATATACAGCCTAAATTATTTAAGAAAATGAATGTTGACAGAAATGCATCCATACCTTGCTTTTGATGTTGCAATGGCAGCAAACAGTCCACAGATATTTGAGGGTCCTCCATAGCAGGATGATGAAGAGACCCCCAAAAAACGTCACCATGGAGGAGGCGAGGAATGCCCACCACATGCGCTGTCCATTATTGTCGCAGGGCACGTCAGGCGAGACCGGGATGACAACTTCTTCCATCTTGGATATTAAGATTGAAGAGACCGGATTTATGTTATTGTTGATATTGCTTGTCCTCGTAGAGCTGTCGCTTCCATGGGGAACGGTGCCATCTGCCTTAGCTAGCATTTAGGAGCCTTTGAGAGCCTGTGCCAGCGTCTCCAGCCCCACCCCCCAGCCATATTGCTTGAAAAAAATAAAACAAAATAAAAGCCCCTCTCTTTGCTGTAGATAGTGTTCACCCACCGGCTGGAGTCTCTTTCTGCGTTTTAGCAGCCTATGAATTGTTAATTAGTGACGGTGTGGGACCAGGCGCACGCAAACCTGACCAAAATAGCAGCTCGGTGGTCCTCGCAGAGAGGCATTTAAATCCGCAATATTGACGAATTGTAGGCGCCCCTCATTCTGAGGGGTTTTCTGGCTCTTTTACGCCAAAAGCCATGGTTAAGATGGGGTCGTTTGCAGCCGTCGAGGCTGCCAATGATATTTCGAGTAATGGCAAACACAACGACAGAAGAAAATGTTACAACCTGTTCTCGGCAAGGCGATCTCTCTAGTCGTCTTCCATTCAGGGATCCTGTCGATTAGCAGGCGGAGAAACGATCTCACTTTCCTTACGCGTCAATCTAGTTGTGAACGGCTCGGAAAAACGCACAGACAAATAGAACCGAATTCTTCACTTGGTTAACTGCCAGTCGATTACTGAACACTACATATTCTCGCGGGTGTTTTCGTTGTCGATTCCGCGTAAAGGGACTGGCGCTCGAGTAGATATTGCTGTCTTCATTCGGTCTCCTGCAGGCCTGGCACGAAGTTGCCAGCTGAGCGCGCCTGTCAGATCCGCTTCAGAGGAAAGCGGGGAGATTTACAGGTAGGAGGGCGGAGCGAAGCGCTAATAATAAAGATGGACAGAGAGCAATAACAGTGCCACGATCTCCGCTGCTTGGCTGCGTAAAACAGCATATAATTGCGCCTTTGCGACTTGAATGCACGCCAATGACGCACGTCGCAAAATGAAGAGGCTTTAGAAACAACTGAATCGATCAGTTTAAGGAAACCTCACAGTGAATGAGTTCCCATCGGAATCTTGTGAGATGACTTATCACTGACTGCAATACTATAAGTCCCTGTAGGGATATTGTATTGTACTACATTTTCATTAAGGATAGTGCCCCATTTTTTCAATTACTAAGTCTGTTCGTAGTCCCTGTTTTCATTTTGAGAAATGAACTTAATAACAGGCCAAACGTTCTCTCACAAACACAAAACGAATGGACCTCTTGGTCAATTACTATAAAATGTTTACACTTTTAGCTCAGGTCTTACTGTAGGTCAAAAAGTGGGAGTATATTGGTGAGGCATGACTTGCAGTAGATTATGGCTGCATACAGGTTGCTCCATCTGAATGTTTCAATTAAATGACAATGCCATTAAAGGTTCCTATCCCTTCTGCACTCTGTATGATTTTAAACATAGGCAACATGGTTAACAAATGTCAGTAAGTGTTATTCGAAGCCATTCTTTAGATACGGTACCAAATAAATGCCCCATGAAAGAGTGGAATTATGACACTAGATCTCAAACACAGATCATATGAAAAGTAAACATGCTTAAGTTAGGTGTGAAGATGATGTAATGTATGTTCAGTGGTGGTAATTTATTGACTGGGAAATAGCTACATAAATAGCTGCTGTGACAGAATCTTCTAACCTGGGAGTGGAGGCAGGCTATCTGTAAATTGCAACACTTCAAGGTTATAACACTGCGCAAGCATTTTGAACCCACATACTATAAGACAGGCAGTGTGGGCAAACAACTTTAATATTGTGAAGCCGGATGTTTAGCTTGTGCTGCATTTGATCTGCAAGTGTTCAGGCAACTTGATAAGTATGAGGATGAACAGCGGCTCTGAAGATGTCCTTCTGCTGGTAGAATGGTGAACTTTGTCATACAAGACAAATGATGTTGCCCTGCAGCAGCCCAATGAGAGAATCCCCTGCTATTTTTCCTTCTAATATTACAACTTTTTAATAAAAATGTAAATTCTTACTAGACTCAAGGTGGTACTGGTCAGGAAATGATAAAACCAAGATTTCCAAAGATTCACAGCTATGAAATGTCTGATTAATAGGAGCCGTCTATTGAAATGAATGTTTATTCATGTTGAGGATTCACAGAGAATTACAAATACATCTGCATGTAATTTGTGCTGCATATTATTTGACAAAAAAGGAAGACAACAGAGAAATCAATTTTACCTTACATACTCTTGTGTATAAGCCAAGTGAGCTGAAGAGATTTGAAGTGATCTTCCCCCATAAAGGCCAGTTGTTGGGTGAGTGGCTCCGGTGGGCCAGCAGAACTTTAGCCCAAGGGTCTCGGTTCACACAGATAAGATTAACATGAGAGCCTTATTTTGGTAATCCCACAGGTCATTTGGAGATGCCAGAGTTAACATGCTGGAGAACCAGCAGAATAGCCAAACATTAAAGCCAAATCATCCCGTTATGGGAAAGAGAGAAACCCTCCTCACTCTGTTAACAAGATCAGACACGAGCTGGGGATTGGCATGACTTGCCAGTGTGGACTACAAAGATCCTTCACCGTCAGCCTTGAGACTTTGAGACTTCAAATTCAGTTGAGCTGTCAGCAGCTGTGTTGAACCCCACCCCAACAGGAGAGCTGGCGGTTCGACCATTTCCTAAACAGGCAAGAGGAGACTTGGAGGACATCAAGAATTGGGCCACAGCATAGCAGACATGCCTCTAAAGTATATCAGGTGTAGTGTGAATTCATTAATGATCAAAACATCGAGCAGCATTCTGTGAAAAGCATTACATCACAGTGACTTTTTTTAAATACTGAATGATCTCAACTATGTAGAACTGCAAGGCCCATATCGCAGGCAGTGTGCACGATGGATGATTTAGAAACAATGGGTGCTCCTTTGCTTGAGTGAACCCAACAGGCAGCTGGAGGGCAGTCAGCCAATGTGACATCAATGACTAAAGGACCATGTGACACTGGATGCGGAGCTGGAAGGAAACAATCTCAAACTAGAGGCACCTTATCAATCAGCAAGATCTGGTGTGGCTGCAGGCTGTCCAGCTCCAGCTCTCACAGAACACTGCAGAAATATGTTTTTCTTGGAATACAGACCTTATCGATGTTCATCATGTTCCTAAACCTGAGCCTGTAGTTATCAAACTTCTTCTTCAAACCTCAAATTGGCAGAAATTAAAACAGGAAGCCAAACTGGAGAATGACGTATCAGAGTGATCATACAATACGATTGTAGCACCACACTGGTGAATGCAGACAATGAAGAATGCATGAAATGTGATCGTCAACAAATCACCCGACAAAGAAACTAAATATCAAATGTGCAAATAAAGCTAAAACTGCTATCAATAACAAAGATATTTTTGGTGTTTTGTCATTCTAGAGTAAGTCTCAGACATTGCTTGCCCCCCTCCATTTTGTGTTTGATCACAACAAATCACAATGATCACAATTAAATAAAATCACTTATGTGCCTGCATTATATTTAAATCCTAATAGTTCTTACAGAAACAAGTGGATTAGGTGGAATGGACTCAAAGTTCTAATGTGAGGACAGCACAGAATAACTCATCACCATCAAACCAGTCGATGATGCATGACAGTAGTGCGGCTGAAGACAGAAAGCCAAGAGTGCAACAGCTTCTTTAACGCTGAAGCCAGGCCACATCTGACCTCTGAGATCCTGTCCGATGTTGTCACACTGTCTTATCTCAGCTCCAAAACTGATGGTCATTTCATCTTCTGCTTCTTTCAACAAAATGTGTTTACTTCCATCCTTATACATTTGTGAAGGGCATTGTCACATTTCAGCAAGTCATTAACAGAAAAGTCTTTCTACCAAAACCTAAATAAAAACAGGAGACAGAGCAGCATGTTTAAACCAATCTTACTTTTTTTTTCTTTTCTTTTTAAACATATTTTCTCGGACACTGCCTACAAATTGGTTACCAAGCAGGGAACTGGAGGGAAGACAATTCCAGTTTGAAGAAACTAACAAAACTGAGACTTAGGTCCATGTTGAGATACAGAAAATGAGTTTTATTCTCATGTTAATGTCTCAACATACAAATCACATTCTTTATAATAAAAGAAAAGTTCAATCAGTACCTGGCATCTAGATTCTTTCTGAAACTACAACCATTTCATGTTTCCTGTTCTCTCTCTAACATATGCTACCTACTCAGAAAAATAGTAACATTACACTTTGTTTCTGCTCACTATTTTAGCCCAATAGTCAAGCTTGTGACCAATTTTCCTTTGAAAAAACAGTGCAAGAATATATCCCTTTTTAATAATACAAATAATAATCAATCCTTTTTTCTAATTAAGAATAAAAGGCCATCAATGAAATGTAAGGAACTGATGTCATACATAAAAATGTGAATTAGTAGAAATTATAGTACCTATTCATAGTCTACTGGAAACCTAGCAACAGTTACATGTTTAAGTTTCACAGATAAACAAGTGCAAAACTGTAATAAAAAGGATAAAGTTGCCTTAGTGGATTTGGCACAACAAGATACGAGATATGGTTTCAAGGAAGGGCATGAGTATTTTTGTCAATATTTTTGCCTCCTCAAAAACAAAAACAAACAAAAAAAGAAATACAATTAAATAACAATGAAAAGTCTCTAACATTTAAACGGATCAGAGAATAATCCTAAGGAATTACTCTGCAAAATTTGCTTCATAGTGTCTCTTCTAATGAGCACATCAATAAGTGACTGACGACCAACCACAAAAACAAACGATTTTTGAAAAAAACAAACAAAACAAAAACATGCAAATACCTGTTAAGACATGACTTCACCGCCAGATGTTTCTAGGCGTATATGACCTAGTGAAAATACATGTAATATACATTTATATATTTTTTTCAGATGTATCTGCATACTGTAATATGTTATACTCTATTTTGCTGTTAAATATATGTTAAAGAGATAAAATGATAGTAACACAGTGGTCTGTCTAGCCCTGGAGTGCATTCTGAGGACTTAACCCGTTGGCCGCCACTTCGGCCTACCCTCAAAACCTCACCATTGTCATGCGCTCTACACTGAACTGGTCTCAAAACAGCCCCTAAATCGTCTAGTCCCTGATGGCTGAAATTATATACTGAATCTCAAAGAAAACCTTTCAAAAGAAATTCTCTTAATGTTCTAGAGGAGCAACCAGGGGCTGGTTTCAGATCAGGCTTCTTCTCCGAAGGCACTTCCGAAAGGCTCATACACTGCCCACACACCCAGCTACTACAGAAACACAATGCATAGAGCAAACATCAGTGTGTTTTGGGTTGTCATGGCCATCACTGCTCAGAGTCCGGTTCAGTCAGACGACAGCTACATACTTCAAGAGGTTTGATGCTTTTGCACTTGTGTGATGAAACACCACGAGGAGTGTGACGTCTGTTCCTGGCATTCCATTTCTATAGCATCGTATTCATGCTAACAAACAACAATTTAACACGACTGAAATTGTCATTACAATTGTGAACAACTGTCTCAGTGCTGTTCTCGCTCTGACACACACTCATGCACAAAAACAAACACACAATTAGTTGTCAGTCATCGAACGGGTACATAATTGGAGGGAAACCACAACTGTCATATGGAACATGAGTGGGTCAGGGATAGCTGAACTTCATTAGTGTTGAGGTTTGTGGACACCGGGTAGGGGAGGGTCACACAGTCAAGAAATTATTGAACAACACAGACTTGTCTTGTGACTGTAAACGGATGCGTACAATGCAGCATTACAAATACACTACCAGAAAGGGAAGACTGAATGAGCGTCAAGATCCAGTGCTACTAACCTGCTCCGGAGTACATCAGAAATAAAGGAGGCTCTAATTACAATTCATAACAAAGACAAAATAAAAAAAATTATCAATAATTTACATAACTAGATCAGTA